CGAGCTCGGTAAGGGCTCGAGGAGCTGCTCGGCGAAACTGGCGGTGAAGGGTTGAGGCTTTGGGGGTTAGTCTAGGGTTTAGGGTTTTTAGGGTTTAGGGCTTTGGGTTTAGGGTTTTGGGGTTTTAGGGCTTAGGGCTTGGGGTTTTAGGGTTTTAGGGCTTAGGGCTTTGGGGTTTTAGGGCTTATGGCTTGGGGTTTTAGGGTTTTAGGGCTTAGGGGTTTTAGGGCTTAGGGCTTAGGGTTTTAGGGTTTAGGGCTTGGGGCTTTAGGGCTTTAGGGGTTTATGGCTTGGGGTTTTAGGGTTTTAGGGCTTTGGGGCTTTAGGGTTTTAGGGCTTATGGCTTGGGGTTTTAGGGTTTAGGGCTTAGGGCTTTAGGGTTTTAGGGCTTAGGGCTTGGGGTTTTAGGGTTTTAGGGCTTAGGGCTTTGGGCTTTGGGGTTTGAGGGTTTGGGGGTTTAGGGTTTTGGCGGTTTAGGGCTTTGGGTTTTGGGGTTTATGGCTTGGGGTTTTAGGGTTTAGGTTTAGGGCTTTAGGGTTTTAGGGTTTATGGCTTAGGGCTTTAGGGTTTTAGGGCTTATGGCTTGGGGTTTTAGGGTTTTAGGGCTTAGGGCTTTAGGGTTTTAGGGTTTATGGCTTGGGGTTTTAGGGTTTAGGGTTTAGGGCTTAGGGTTCAGCAGCTCCAGATCGCTGCTACAGTAAAGTTGTATTTACGGTTTTGATATAACACCTCCCCAAAGAATCCCCTAACATAAGAATAACATTCATTACAGCATACAGGTCGGTTCATCATTTTTGATTCTATGATGACCTTTCTAGTTTAATTCGGATTACTGTCTCTATTATTATAGGGCTCGGACTACTATTTTAGGGTTCGGACTACTATTTTAGGGTTCGGACTACTATTTTAAAGTTCGGACTACTGTTTGAGGGTTCGCACAAGTCAGTTTTAGGGTTCGGACTATTCGGATTATTATTTTAGGGTTCGGACTACTATTGAAGGGTTCGGACTACTATTGTAGGGTTCGGACTACTATTTTCGGGTTCGGACTATTATTCTAGGGTTCGGAATACTATTCTGCGGTTCGGACTACTATTTCGGGTTCGGACTATTATTCTAGGGTTCGGAATACTATTCTACCGTTCGGACTACTTGATTTGGGTTCGGACTATTGTTTTAGGGTTCGGACTATTATGTTGCGGTTCGGACGAGGTTCGGACCATTATTTTAGAGTATTGACTACTGTTTTGGGGTTCGGACTACTATTGCAGGGTTCGGACTACTAATCGCTTCACCCTTCTATTAAACACCCCCCTAATACTAGAAACGCTTTCCGGAAAATCCGCCCCCCCGCAATCATTCCGCGCCCTTCCTTATGACTTTGGTATTGGGAAGTAGGGAGGGGGGTGGCCGTTTAATATTAGGGTGAAAGGATTATTCAGGATTCGGACTACAATTTTAGGGCTCGGACTATTATTTTAGGGTTCGGCCTACTATTTCAGGGTTCGGACTATCATTACAGGGTTCGGACTACCATTTTAGGATTCGGACTATTATTTTTAGGGTTCGGACTAATTCTTGTTTCAGGGTTTGGACTACGATTTTACGGTTCGGATTTCTATTTTAGGATTCGGACTATTAGCTTAGGGTTCGGACTGCTATTTGCCTTGAACCACGAGTATTCGTGGCTCAAGGCGAAAAGTTCGTGGCTCAAGGCAAAAAACCTTAAACCACGAGCGATTGGCCTTGAACCACGAGCGATTGGCCTTGAACCACGAACGATTCTTGCCTTGAACCACGAACGATTTTTGCCTTCAAGGCAAAAATTCGTGGCTCAAGGCAAAAAACCTTAAACCACCAACGATTGGCCTTGAACCACGAACTATTTTTGCCTTGAACAAGAAACTAAATAGAGTTTAATTTAATCTATGATAGAGAGGTTTAGGGTTTAGGCTTTAAGGTTTTAGGCTTTTAGGCGGTTTTGGGTTTTGGGTTTAGGTTTGGGGCTACGGTATCTCTGCGATGACTATACTATAATTAAGCTATTGCTATACTATTACTACTACTGTTGCTATACCACTAATATACTATTCCTATACTGTTTTGCTGTTGCTATGCTGTTACTGTACGATTACTAGAGCCAAGGAGCTTGGGGCATGGGGCTACTATTGCTGGAGTTACTAGGGGTCCTTGAAAGGTTGCCCTGAGAGTTAGAATTTAGGTTACTACAAGTGTCCTATTTGGGTTGCGAAGCGTAAGACAGGTTGCTAAGAGAGTTGCCAAAAGGTTTCCTTTAAGGGTTGCGATAACGGCAGTCAGGGGTTTTGTAAGGGTTGCAAAATGGGTTTTAGGATTTAGGGGTCGAAAGCCCTGGACAGTTACGGCAGGGGCCTCGCAAATCACCCGCCCCGGTCGCGCATCTAGGAGGCAGCGCAGCCTGGGATATATAAAGAGGTTCACTGATCGGAGAAAGCTATGGCATTGACTAGAATCGGAGACTAGAATCGGAGAAACACAACCATGATGGGTTACTGGCACTGGTGAAACTACTGATAACATTTATGCTGCGATGCTAACACAAATCATACTGGACATGAGAGCAAAACACATTTACCATCAACAAATTCTACGAAACGCAGACCAATACTGGCCATGATCAAAGTACCAATGTTGAAAAATGGAAACAATGACTTCGAGAATCTAAACTCACTGCACCAGGAATGACAAGAACAAAGCTGTCGTAATCATGAAAAAATAATCAGCATAGTTGGCGCACGTTCAGCTCTCTGGCAATACCAGGCACCATAGTCTCGATTTCAAAAACTGCTACTACAAGTGTACTGGTGATGACTACTAGACGCAGTAGGCGAGGAAGTAGTGAAAATAGTGGAAATAGTGGTGGTGGTAGCAGTAGCAGTAGTAGCAGAAGTAGTAGTAGTAGTAGTAGTAGTAGTAGTAGCAGTAGTAGTAGTAGTAGTAGTAGTAATAGTAGTAGTAGTAGTAGTTGTTGTTGTTGTTGTGGTAAAGGTAGTTGTGGTAGTGGTAGTAGTAGTATAGTAGTAGTAGTAGTAGTAGTAGTAGTAGTAGTAGTAGTACCTGGTGAAATCAACACCAATGATAGCAGCGATGCCGAAAAAAGCGGGGAAGCTTACGACAGCTGATCATAGATTGAACATTTCTTAAACTCCCTTCTCATCATGCACGCGGCAATATCCTTGGCTGACTTCTGAACCCCTCCTAACAAGATAAACTTTCAGCCTACTTCTTATAGTTCATGCAGAAACCCAACATGTTAAAGTCCTAACAGCCAACCAGAAGAACGCGAACAATCGATGCAGCAAAGGGCATATCTAGTCAGTGCGAAGCCACACGCTATAACTCCAGTTGAGATCAACTGAGGAAGAGAGAATGGCATAAACTTGGCACGGCGGCATCGAAATGTCCGCGTGGTACACGATCTGCCTGGCAGCAGGGTCCGTCTTAGTATTTGCGTTGAGAAAGTTCACAGAGCTCAATTAAGCCTTCAAAGACAAGAACGGAACACACGCACACGTAGTCACAGAGCACAACTAACATGATACCAGACTCAATCTGTGCCGGCCCGACGTGCGGTGCGTGAGGCTCTGGGTGATGAACTCAGGGGTGGGCCGAAGCAACGCCAGCCAAAGCCCGCCTGGCTGGAGTGCAGGGACTTCAGCCGAAGATGCCCCTGCCTGAAGGCTTCCTTGCACACCAGTCGTTGCGGCTCGCGAGCCTCTCCGTGCACGGACTTTGCTCCCAAACGGGCGCCCGATGATCTCATCGTGGTGGAAATTGCCGAAGCCTGAGACATCAAGCGCTACAGCCTCATGGCGGCTCCGACAAAATCTGCCATGATGACCTTGTACTAAGCAGCAGGTTGGAGTTCGCGCAAGCGAGAAAGGTCATCGCACCGAAGATCCCGCAAAAACCATCCTGACAGCAATCTCTGAGGCTCCGGCGATTGTTGGTGATCTCCCCATGCTTCAGGACTACTCCGAAGACCTACCCAAGAAGTACAAGAACGGCCATGAACTTGCAGCACCCCGCCACCAACCTCTATCAGGTATCTGCGGGTATGGCTTTTCGCCTCGCTCTCAACATAACGGCACAGTCACGAGGCAACTTGCCTGCGTGTAACTGCCCCAGAGGATGACGAAGTCACCCTCCTTGGTTCCTCAGGGCATCTTCATTTTTGGAACCGAGGCAGAGCCGCAACTCTTGGATTTGATTCCCACAAATCCGAAGCAGGAAAGCCCTACATTGCCCCGTGATACTTTCAACAAAATCGGAGGCTTTACATATTTCTCAACATGCGTCAGACAGCACAGTAATAAGTAAACCTTGGAGATGCACTGGTGCCCCCGCCTTCGGGCGCCGGTTCTGCTGCAACCGCCTGCCTGTAGCTTCTGTGGGTTGGGGGACTGTTGCCGCTTGCATGCCTGCTTGCTTCGTGCCAGAATGAAGCCTTGAACAGACCTGTAGTTGCTTGGGGTGTCGCTGAGATCCTTCGACCCTCCTCGAGTGTCGCTCAGCAAAAAAGTCAGCCGCCTGCTTAAGACCTGGGCTTTTCTTTCCCCTGGGCCACGGCCTTCCCAAAACTCAGGGCTCCAGTTCGCTTGTGAAATCGAGTGGCGTCTCCATCAGCTAGCAGACTGCCATGCCGACATGGCCAGGGCACCCCAAGAACAGAAATGGAAACAGCTTGACAGAGGTAGAGAGAGCTTGAGAGGTCTCGAAGAGCTTGAAGCCCCGATCGAGAGGTCTCGGAGGTCTACGTGCCTGCTGCACTGAAGAAAGCTCAAAGCGGGGAAAGCCCATGAACCCCTGTTCCCATGCTATGGCATGTTGTACTGCCCTAAAGGCCTGATGAAAACCTTTCGCTTACAATCGGAATGAGCAGCGTGATAAGGCTTGGTGCGCCAAGCCTCCTGAACGTGAGCGCTTGAATCTGAGCCCAGGCTGCGCAGTGCTCAGAAAACTCCTCGAAGGTCAAAGCTGAAAAAGACGGCTGGCAAAAGCCTGAAAGATAATCCTCGAGTCCCAGTCTTCAGACATATTGGAGATTCTGGATCGACACTAAACGTACAGCAGCAACGACATTATGCTCAGTCTGAGTCAGAAACTGCAACCACAGCCCTCGTGGTTTGCTATCACACCCGACGTTCCGAAACGCAAGTTTCGGATGCATTGCTGTAAATGGGATCGAGACATATTGCTCGGCTTGGCCAATACGTAGGCGAAAACAGACACTGACACTAGCTGTTTATGTAAGCCTGCTGTTGCCGCCATTGCTGCTGCTGCTGCTACGACTGCGACGACTGCTGCTCCTACTACTACTCCTTTTACTACTACTACCACTACCAAAACTACCAGTACTACGCTATGGGCAAACAACTAATGATCGGGAACAGAGAGAGAGAGAGAAAGAGAGAGAGAAAGAGAAAGAGAAAGAGAAAGAGAAAGAGAAAGAGAAAGAGAAAGAGAAAGAAAAAGAGAAAGAGAAAGAGAAAGAGAAAGAGAAAGAAAAAGAGAAAGAGAAAGAAAAAGAGAAAGAGAA